ATTTTACGTACGGCGCTTTGCTCCCATCGTTCAGACTGGCGCGTCACCCAGCGCGGAACGTTTTGTGGATCCGAGTGCTGTCGCCCCGCTCCTTTTCCCTCCCCCGCCTTACCCTGGTCATCCTTCTCTTCCCGATTATCCCAATCCAGCTCATGCTGCTCCTGTTCCTCTTCGCCCTCTTCCTTCATCATCCTGCTCCTCTTCCTCCTGCTCATCGTCCTGCCCATCCTCCTGATCATCCGCCACCCCCTCCTCTAATGTATGCAGCTCCCCTTCCCCGATTGATGCGATCCGCTTTGGAACTCCAGGTCCGCTTTAGCACGCGTCGGCAGATAGAGGAAAAATCAACGCAACGGGAAGGGATGGGCGGGAGGGGTGGGATGCCAGATACGGCAAGGGCGCGTCTAGCCTGCTCTCCCACGCTCCGCCTCCTCCTGCCCTCCCCCTTCGTTTTTTTTCTTCTTCCTCCTCCTCCTCCTCGCTGCTGCTCTGCCTCCTCTCGTCCTCCCCCCCTCCTCCTCCGCTCCCTCCTTCTCCTCCTCCTCCTCCTCCTCCGCAGCCGCAGCATCATCATCATCATCATCATAGCCGTGCCTCATCGCCCCCATGTCGTTGTTCGTCCTTCTCCTCCTACTCCTCCTCCTCCTCCTCCTCCTCCTCTCCTCCTCCTCCTCCTCCTCTGTCCTCTTCCTCCTTCCTGTCCTCTTCCTCCTCCTACCTCCTCTTCCTCCTCCTCCTCCTCACCTCCTCCTCCTTTCTCCTTCTCCTCCTCTCCCCTCCTCCTCTTCTCCTCCTCCTCCTCCTCCTCCCTCCTCCCCATCCTCCATCCTCCTCCTCCTCCTCCTCCTCCTCCTCTGGCATCTGGCATCTGACGTGTTTGGGCGCGAACTTCCTCGCAATGGTGCAGGCAAATGCACCCGACCCGCCCACCGAGTTTACGCCCCACGCTCCCAATCGGGATGTCCACGTCGTAACACTTAGTGCCGCTCAACTCCGGGACAACGCACATTGCCTCTCAATGAAATCAACCTCGGAAACCGTACGGGGGAGGCAACGGATGATGATGAGAATACGAAGACACGATGGGCCACGTCGGAGCGATGCCTGTCTGGCAAGAGGGAACAGGGGAGGAGGAGGAGGAGGAGGAGGAGGAGGAAGAAGAAGAAGAAGAGGACGCGGAGGAGTAAGAAGAGGACGGGGAAGAGGGGGAGAAGGAGGAGAAGGAGTATGAGGAGGAATGAGAAGGAGGAGGAGGGGGGAGGAGGAGAGGAGGAGGAGGAGAGAAGGAGGAGGAGGAGGAGGAGGAGGAGGAGGTTAAGGTGAAGAATGTTGGAGGCGAGTCCGAACGGCGGCGGCAGAACCACGGGTCGTGCGGCTTATTTATCGGGTGCCTCTGCGAAGATGCGGGTGCGGGCCCTGCCCAAGCACAGAGGCCCGCGAGGGGGCAACCGGCAGGTCTGGGGTGCAAAAGTCGAGTAGGGTATCGACTGCAGAATTGATTTACAGCCGACCCGTCTAACAAGGATGCGCAGTGAGGATGCAAGGGCCTTGGAAGGCCATTTCGATGCTTTCCAGGCGGGGCGCGACCAACGAAAGTGGGCAAGGACAGACCGAGGATGCAAGGATGCAAGGATACCCTTGGGAAGGTTGCCCATCCTTACCATGCGGATTGACTGTACCTCAGACTTGATGTGTTCGCCGAAGCCATGAGAACTGCGTAGACTGTTCGTAGACCTACTAGCCTTCTGCGTAGGACTCGACGAGAAAGCCAATTCTGGGGTGATGAACTCTATAGTCGATCCCCCACTCGAGAAAGGCAGGGCCCAGGTGTCAGACGAAACCAGGGCGAGGATCACATCGGGTGAGGGTTTCATCGAGCATCTCTGAGATCTGGCGGTTCTGGAGCAGGCACCGGTCGCCGCGGCCTTCTCGGAGCGGCCCGGGACGCTCTCAGCGCGTTCCGAAACGGAAGCGTTCTGGAGCCCAGACCCCCGACGTCGCGATGTTTCCACAACGTCGACCCCCAGAGTGAAGGGGCCCTGGGACACACAAATAAATACACACAAATAAAAGGATCCCCCGTATCTTCCTATATTTTCTGGGTTTTTGTCTTCCCCGCCACTCCACATAGTTTTCCATATTTTCTGGGGGATCGACGACTCATTGTGACTGAGTGTTTTTTTTCCTCCTGACAGAGATCTGGACCTCTTCCCCAGGACCAGCTTTTCATCCTGAATCTTTTTTTTACGGGATCCCGAGGCCGGGCAAGGGCCCCCGGAGGTCGACACTGGCGAGAAACCTCCCGTCGTGATTTTTGTCACAGGGCGACGGGGGTCTGGGGACGGATTCATCCTCCTCCTGGCCCCGTCCAGAGGAGGAGGAGGAGGAAGAGGAGGATGAGGAGGAGGAGGAGGAGGAGGAGGAGGAGGAGGAGGAGGAGGAGGAGGAGGGAGGGGCGCTGCGGCCCACGCTCGGGAGGGGAAGGGAGCGGCAACGAGCGAGGGAGGGGGACAGGAGCCAGACTCGGCCCGGCAGCGAGCGGAAGGGGGGTTCGGGCTTCGTGGTTTCGGGCTCGAGGTTGTCGGGCGTGTTCGTAGTTTCCTGGCGGCTGTCAGCCCTCGGGATGAGGTCCCGCGGCGGCGCCTCACCGGGAGCGTTCCAGGGGTGCCCCGACCGTCCCGAACGGCCACCGGAGAGCCGAGTTACGAACTCAATGGCGCGCCCAGGGGGAAATGAGCAGGAGGAGGCCCTCGCAAAATGCGGCGGGGCGGGCCTTCTGAGGGGTCTTCTTTGTCTTCGGGGAAGGCGTGGAAAACCTTTCAGAAGGCCAGCGGACTTCGAAACCTTCTGAGAAGGCCCACCTTATCTCACTTCCCCCCTGGGCTCGCCGCCGGGTGGAAGGGAAGAAAACGAGGACCAGAACCGAAACGCAACGCGGAAACGTCGTGCCGATCGTGGTCAGCGTCCGCCTAGGCCAGCACCAATTCGCGGATCAGCCTCGCAAGTCGGCGACGGCCGGTATGGACCATGACCGAGATCAGCGTCGACAAGATCCCGCGACATCTTGGTCATGAGCAGAGTGTTTCTTCCCTCGAACGCTCGGCAGACCCATCGTGGCGCGGCCAGCGCGGCCCAAAATCTCTGACGAAACAGCGCTTCCCATCTGGGCGCGTTGTTGCCGGGTTTCGGCCTCTGGGGCCCGTTCCCGGGCCCCTGGACCATCAACATCGGATCTGGGACGGGAACCTGCCCCCAGGAAAGTGGTCGGGATCCCCGGGGCGCGCATAGAGAAAGATCGTGCCGTCGGCTGTCTGGGGCTGAGACCGCGGCAGACGGCAGAACCACCACTGCGACAACGACGGCGATGACAACAACGATGATTACAACGAACGAGGACGCAAACATAAGAGCAACAACAACAACAACAACAACAGCAGCAACAACATCAGCAGCATCAACAACGGCAACAACAACATCAACAACAACACCACCACCACCAACAACAGCAGCAACAACACCACCAACGACAACAAGAAAAATAACACCACCAACAACAACAACAATACTAACAGCAATAACAACACCAGCAGCAACAATCAGTGTAAGACTGTTTGCTCCTATCTGCTCACGTGCCTGCCGATCAATACGTACATCCCAAGCCCTCGGTACTCGCCCTCGTCGTCTTCGATCGTACCCCCTTGGGGGCATATATTCCTCACCTGCCACGCGCATTGACTGGAGCCCCTAAAACAGGGGAAGAGAGGACGGGTGGAGGGGAGAGGGAAAATACTGGGGCACGAGAGAAATTAGCAGGAAACGGGGCAAGGACCCGAAATCAAGTGGTAGAACCAGACGAGCCCGGGTGACCAGGTCGAGCAGGCGGGTTGCTGAAGCATGATGGCTGCACGACTCGCGACAGGAAGTCTCGAGCGACAGCGCGATTTCCAAGTAAACCGTGAGAAAAACCAAAAGCCAGAGCGCGATTCCTGAGCGCCGAGGGCGCGGCGTCTGAATAAATTGCGAGGACGTCTCACGCGAGAGCGTGATTCGTAGATAAATTGCGAGGACGTCCCGCGCGAGAGCGCGATTTGGGAATCCATTGACAGGAAATATATCGGGCGGGAGATGCTGTTGTTGTACACTGGGGGCCAACCACACAATGTGTGCAGGAAAACGTTCCATTACAAAAAACAAGAGCAAGCCCCAGGAGGGTCACTTCAATCGAAAACACATATGTTATTAGAGAGGGGGCCAACAACATTCATCCCTCAGAGGTGAAAGTTCAAGAACAACAGCAGCAGCAACATCAGCATCCGCATCACCATCGTTAGCAACAACAACAGCAACAATCATCTTAAGACTGGTCTCTCTTATCCGCTCGCGGGCCACTCAACACGTATATCGCAAACCCTCGATACCCGCCCTCTTCGTTTTTGATCGTACCCCCTTGGGGAATACATTTCTGTTACCCGCAACATGTATTTCGTGCAGTCCATACGGCAGGGGAATGGAGGACGGATGGAAGGGACGGACAGGGGGGAGGGAGGAGGATGGATCACGAGGCAGAATAACAGGAGGGGGGCTAGGCGCAGGAAACACGTAGCAGAACCAGACGGGCAGATCGTTCGGGTAGATCCTAATGGGCGGGTCGGGAAGGCGGGCCCGGGTGAACAGGTCGAGCAGGCGGGGTTGCTGAAGCGTGATGGCTGCATGAACCGAGAGGAAATCTCGAGTGACAGCGCGATTCCCAATACATCGTGGGGAAATCCACAATGAGAGCGTGCTTCCTGAGCGTCGAGGGCGCGGCGTCTGAATAAATTGCGAGGAAGCCCAACGCGAGAGCGCGACTCCTGTATACATTGTGAAAACGTCCCGCGCGAGAGCGCGATTTGGGCATCGGGCACCGTTGTTGTTGTTGTTGTTGCTGTTGTTGTTGCTGTTATTGTTGTTGTTATTGTTGTTGTTGTTGTTGTTGTTGTAAACCGGGTGCCAAGGGCCCACTTTGGTGACGCCTCGCTTTTCTTTCGGAACGGTTTCGCCCTGGCGACCCCTACTATCCCTGATCACACGTGCGCACAGTGCGTCTGAAACAAAGTAGCTCACTGACAAGTTGAGGAAGAAAACAACATGCGCACGCACTGGGTGAGACCCGCCTCCAAGGCGATCGCCTCTGCTCGGAAAGCGGAGGCCACGCGCCCCACGAAAACAACGCCGCACGCAATTTCGGTGAAGGATGGGGCGTTGTCTGGACTAGCCCGTAAGACACTACACAAAATCCATCCCGCTGCGACCTTTTCCGCCCGCCTGCCACCGTCGGTCTGCAGCTGGAAGATGGCGTTTGGGCAGGCGCGTGCCACGTGACAGGAACCTTCACGGCAATTGGATTGCTCCATATCGAGCGCCATGTTCGCCAAGCGGTCGGCTGCAGCGTTGTACTTCCGCTCCCGCCATCTGACGATCGACGACGTATCGGTACAAACCCTGAATCCCTTGGTGTACAACCCAGAAAGATGCCGCCCGACTCTGATGCATAATGGCCGGAATTCCTCTGACTGGCGCTGTGCCTTGCCCGTGAAAAAATCGGCAATCGATTTGCAGTCGACGACTGCGCGGGATCTCAGAGGCTCATCTTGCCAATAGTGGACGGGAGACGGCATATTCTGAAAAGTGTGGGCGCCACTTTGTCGACTCTGCCCAAGTGAGCATGAAACTGGCAATCCGGGTGAAGTTGGAAGCTGAGGTAACTGCCATGATTTGCAAAGTGCGTCGATGAACGAACGCCGCCCCGAGCGCCATGACACCTCGCTTTCCCTGGTTAAGAAAAGGGTGCGAGCCCCTGGAGAAGCACTTTAACAGATACAATGGTTGCCGGGCAGGGGGGATCAACAAGTATTTCTAAATGAATATTCAACGACGCGCGACGACAGCGGCACAAAAACGGAGTACGAAAAAAACAACAACAACAACAACAACAACAACAACAATAACAACAACAACAGCAGCAGCAACAACAACAACAACAACAACAACAACAACAGCAACAGCAACAACAACAGCAACAACAACAACAACAACAACACCACCAACAACAACAACAACAAGGCACATCGTCGACGACGACAGGAACAACGTCGAGGGCCGTGCCCTAAATCGGAAAGGCGTCGTGGAGTGCAGCCGTGGGGGCAGATGTGCCGCAAGCCTGTTGGATCGTATCGCAGGATGTCTCTGGGGCTGAGGCCGCGGCAGACGGCAGAATAAGAAACGGGGGGAGGTTGCACGCTTCCCCCCGGGGCCGTCGGCGACCCGAGGAGGAGGAGGAGGAGGAGGAGGAGGAGGAGGAGGAGGAGGAGGAGGAGGAGGAGGAGGAGGAGAGAGGAGGAGGAGAGAGGAGGGGGTTCTCCGCCGCCGCCTGCGACTGCCCGCCGCGGGCCAGCGTCAAGGCGGGCGCGCGCGCACCGCGAAAAAGGGAGATCTCCGCACGCCCGGCATGGCTACGGAGAGCATGGGCACGATTCCCACCGGCAAGTGTTGCCCAGAACCTGAAAACGACAGCGGACGCTGTTGGACCAGCGACTGTTGTCTCAAGTGGACCACGACGCGGCGACGCGGAGAGCGGATTAGGTTCAGAATGGACAGGGCTTGCTGACGGTCTTCCTCCCCATTCTTTCCGTGCCCCAGTCGATCCACCAGAAGATCGGGGGGACAGTATCAAACTGAAGGGAACGAGCCCTGGAGGACCAGGAAACCAGGCCACCGAACTTCGCGCATCGCGCTCTCGCCCCGCGATGCGCAGCGCGCGGTGATCTTCGCGCCCTCGCGCCCTCACGCCGCTCCCTTGGAGACGGGCAGCCGCTCCTGCCCCAGCCGCGACGCGCGAAGCGCGATTCTCTTCGCGCCCACGCGGGTGACCTAGGGAACCCTGACTCTGGATCTGCCGTACTTTGGGCGATGTCGTGATTAACTGGGGCGGATGTGTCCGTCCCACTTGCCAAGCTCATCCGATGTCGATCTCCGCCCTACGTTGCCGTCGTCGTTTTCACCACGCGCTCGCGCAAACATCCGCCCCACCTTTCTGAGGTGGACATTTTCGCCCTACTTGCTCGCATCGTTTAGGGTGTATTTCCGGCACAGTTCCCAGGCCAGAAAATCAACCAAAGTACGCAGATCCCACTCGACACAGATCGCGCACCACGCCCCGGCGTAACCACGCCCTCTGTAGTCGCCGTTCGAGGGAGGGAGGGAGGGAGAGAGAGAGGGAAATAGAAACAGAGAGAACACAGAAGAGCACAGCAACCAAAAAAGGCCCACGGTCCTCGTTGAACCGGTAGGAGACCCACTCCTCCCACTGCTCCCCGCGCAGCACGTTCAGGGGGTTCTGCGGGCGGGCACTGCGGGAACGAACGGCGACGACGAAAGCTACGGCGACGGCGACGGCGACGGCGACGGCGACGGCGACGGCGACGGCGACGGCGACGGCGACGACGACGACGACGACGACGACGACGACGACGACGACGACGACGACGGCATCGGTCACGACGGCGGCCCGAACGCGTGGCTCGGCGCCGAGAGCGTGGCCCGGCAGCGGCGCCTCTCGGAGGCCGCAGGCTCTGCCACGACGCCGGCCGCCGCCGCGTTCCCTGGCGAGGGGGGCAGAAGCCACTGCATGGAGGGGCCGCTTTCCCAGGCCCCCTCGGGTCATGAAAAATCACGACGGTCTCTCGGCGGCAGGTCCTCGGGGGAGGTCAGAGGGGGATTCTGTTTTTTGGTTCGAAGGAGTCGTGCTCCCCGAGCCCCCTCGGGTCATGAAAAATCGCGACGGGGGGATTCTGGCTTCTTGTTGTTGGAGGGAGGAGATGGGAGCGGACCGGCAGAGTCAAGAACCACCGTCGTAACGCGAATGCCGGTTGCACCTGAAAGCCGTTTTCTTCCTCACCAGAAGTGTGGAAACGGACGCAGTCAACGACAAGGCAGATAACACAAGATAAGGACGTTAGGACGGGAGGATTCTGGCTATTTTTGGCCTCTGGGGGCCCTCACCGGGCCTCGGGACCATCAAGAAACGACCCAGGATGGAACACCGGTCCCGGGAATGGCTGGAGACTTCTGGGGGTCGAGGTCATGAAAAATCATGTCAGGGGTCTGGATTTCCACCACCACCACCACCACACGTAGGAGAGGGGGGAGGAGGAGGAGGAGGAGGAGGAGGAGGAGGAGGAGGAGGAGGAGGAGGAGGAGGAGGAGGAGGAGGAAAAGGAGGAGGAGGAGGAAGAGGAGGAGGACCTCCCCATTCTCCCGTCTCCCCCGTCCTACCTGTGGTAGTGGTGGTGGTGGTGGAAAACTGGCCCATCATGTATCCGGCGGCGAGTACAGAGGGGAAGAGAAACCACTACCTTCGGCGGGCAGCACAGAGGGTAAAAGAAACAACTACGTCCGGCGGGGAGCACAGAGGGGAAACGAAGCAACTGCATTCGGCGGCGAACACAGAGGGGAAAAGCTTCAACTGCATTCAGCGGCGAGCTTCGGGATGCTCTCCAGCAGCTGCGCTTCGCCGAGGGCTCTCCTGGAGTGCCCGGGTCGTCCCGAACAGCCGCCGAAGGCCCGAGCTCTGGCCCGCATTCCCCGATATCCGACGCTGCGACATGAACGACGACAAATCCCGCCCGAAGCCCCGACCCCATCCTCGCCATCGCTGGGACGTCCATTCCCTGTGCTTTTTTTTTTGGTTTCACGTCCGAGCGATGCCAAGCATCTCCCTGCGTCGCTTGTCGAGCCAGATCGATCCGTGAGGGTCCTGGGGCCCGAGCCTGGGCGAAGACGCCCGTTGTGAAAAGCTCGCAACGCCAGGATCTCAAGGTTCGATCGGAGACCCACTCCTCTAGAAGCCTCCTGGGTGGGGTCCGGGTTGATGCGGTCGGATGATTGCACCGCATGGCCGAGGTATCGGCGATGCGTCGGCGACGTCGGCGTGGAGAAAATCGGGCTCCACATCGAGCTGCAGCGGCGATGCATCGGCGATGCGTCGCGATCCTCCGACCCCGTCCATTCCGACCCCATCTGGGAGGCCTAGATCCTCCCACTGCTCCCTGCGCAGCACGTTCAGGGGGCTCTGCGGGGGGCGTGGGCGCGAACGTTCTCTCGCTCCCCGCCCGCGCCGCTCCTGTTCCCCCCTGGGACCCTCCCTTCTCCTCCTCCTTCTCTTCGCCCTCCGCCTCATCCTCCTCCTCCGCCTCGTCCTCCCCCTTCCCCTCGCCCTCCTCCTCCTCCTCCTCCTCCTCCTCCTCCTCCTCCTCCTCCTCGCCCTCCTCCTCCACTTCCTCCACCTCCTCCAACTCGTCCTCCTCCTCATCCTCCTTCCTCCTCTCTCCCTCCTCCTCCCTCCTCCTCCTTCCTCCCCTCCTCCTCCTCCTCCTCCTCTCTCCACCTCCTCCTCCTCCTCCCCTCCTCCTCCTCCTCCTCCCTCCTCCTTGCTCTTCTCTTGACCTCCTCGTCCTCCTCTCCTCTTCCTCCTCCTCCTCCTCCCTCCTCCTCCTCTCCTCTCGTTCCTCCTTCTCCTCCGCCTCCTCCTCCTCCTCCTCCTCGATCCTCCTCCTCCTCGATCCTCTTCCTCCTCCTCCTCATCCTCCTCCTCGCCCCCCGCGGCCCTCCCCCCCGGGCACCCTGCCCCCGGGCACCGCCGGGGGCAACGGCGCAGCCCTCCGGAGCTCACGTGGTCTCTCGGCGGCAGGCCCACGGGGGGAGGTCAGAGGGGGATTATGGTTATTTGTTCGAAGGAGTCGTACTTTCACATTATTTTTATGTTCGAAGGAGTCGAAGGGAGTTGTTTTTTGTTCGGAGGAGTTGTTTTTTGTTCGAAGGAGTCGAAGGAATGATGTTTTTTGTTGTTTGTTTCTTTTACGGTATTTGGCGAGTCATGAACAAATCATGACGGAAAGCTTTTCGCTATGTTCGGCCCCCGGGGGCCCTCACCGGGCCTCGGGAACGTCAAGGAACGACTCAG